AAAAAAAAAAAAAAACACATCTTAGTAAAACCAATACCTTCTGAGCTTTGCATCGAAGCTAAAAACACATCATAGTAAAATTAATACCTTCTCAGCTTCGTATCGAAGCTAAAACAAAGTATAAAAGGCAGATACTTAAATGTACGACCTCAAAAATTTATTAATATAGTGTACTTTTAGGTATGTTAATTGATAAAATTGAAAAAAACAATAAAGTGTGTAATATAAATTGGCCACTTTTAGAAAAATTCTACATGGATTGTTTATTACCAGAGATAATTGACTCTTCTTCTGACAAAGGACTATCCATAAGAACAGGCTTATAAAACTTAAAAATAGCACTGTGTAAATAATGTAATTTTGTAAATTGAATTCTTATAATTCAAATTAAAGTTTTATTGATAATTTTATAGCTTCAAAATAATCGATGTAGATGTTTTTCTTACTCATCGATAATAAATAATTTTATTATTTGTGAAATTATGACGCGTCTATAAGTAATTACGATGAGACTGCTGCTATACTACGGTTTTTATACTAAATAAAATAAATGTTTATCGTTATTAAATCAATATAATCGTATTTTATCAAAAAGTAAGGCAGGTATATAACCGTTTTTGTTATCGACTATAACACGACGAAAAGACTCCAAATAATGGACACTCACACTACTAATTATATACTTCTCACACAACGACACTGCGTAACATGAAATAATCGCAAAATTGTCTATATTGGACCCCTGAAAAAAGGCTGGGTACCCAGACGCCTTAATTTTTATACAAATCAATTTATCCAATTCTTAACTTAACTTAAATTAATGATTAATAAAAATTAATTAACTATAAGTACAACATTGATTTTATACACATGATTTCCATGATGATCAAAAAGACTGCATTTGTGAAATTATAAACATCAATGTAACTTACATTATGACATAAGCACATAAACAGGATATGCTTCATTTTTTAATTGGAAAATACCTAGAAATAAATGTTGTTTTAAAATTAACATAGTTGAAGCATTAATTAATTTTTTAATTTTCATTAGCCTTTTTTTATTTTTATTAGATAAATCGCTTAAATTGTATTTGTGTTAAGTTTTGTCCATTTAATCCGTTGAAATAGCACTTGGATAAATTTCAAATTAATTTACCGAGGCGCTATAAATGATTATAAAGGACATAATTTACATTTTTATTACTAAAACAATTACATTATATATGTTGTAAAAGATAAACTCTTACAGCATAAATAGTGTAAAGTGTATCGTGGAAACGTTTTATCAATTTTGGCTTATACGATATTGATGTATATTTATTATCAGGAATGTTTATATTTCTAAATATTGCTTGAAAAGTCGTTGAATGTAATACTATCGTTAGCTAGTAAAAGCTACAATGAAATAGTAATGAATCAGCTGATGAATGGTTATTGGGTGGTAAATATAAATTACTTTATTAAAATTATCAAAAAATAAATAAAAGTAAAATATACAATGATATAATAAAAAAAAAAAACTCAGTACAGGGGGCACAGTGGTGACGTGGCATAGTTATACGTGGATCACGTATAATGATAACTGACAGTGATTAAAATCACTATAAAAAAAAAAGGCTTCGATGCAAAGCTTTAGATAGTGGTCCACTAAAATTCATCAAAAAATTGGTGGATTATTCCAAAAGCTACATGATCTGCTAGTTCCTTATTAATATCTTGATTAAGATAAAGTATGTCGAATTAAAGAGGTATATAAATATTATTTCTCATAAAAAAATTGTATTCATCCATACGTTTTTCAAAGATTTATAGCGATATAAAGTTAAAAATATGAAAAAGAATTTTATTACAAAAATCGTATTTTTTTTTAATATTAAAGTTTATTACATAAGCTATAATTTAAGATATATAGAAAAGTGTCAGTATTTCCGGAACACTTTCAAAAATTAAGTTGAAAAAGTTCTACTTTCTATATGCTTTTTTATGTTTTGAACCCTCTGTATTAAGGAATATAGTCTGATTTAAAAAAAAAGTATGTCGAATGAAAGAAGTATATAAATATTTTTTTTTATAAAAAAAATGTATTGATCCATACATTTTTCAAAATGTAATAACATTTTTCAAAATGTAATAACATTTTAAAGTTAAAAATTTTAAATATAAAATCGAGAATTTTCACACAAAAAAATTGCACTCGATAGCCATTTTCACCGTGAAGACAAAATGAAGTTCGATATTTTTTTTCTTCATGATAAAGTATATTACATTAACTTTAATTTAAAATATATATAAAAGTGTCAGACTTTTCGGAACATTTTCAAAAATCAAGTTGAAAAAATTAATTTTTTGTAAAAAAGTTGTCATTTTAAATCCCCCCCTGTGGGCAAGTAAAGGGTCACATATAAAAAAAAAATATACCAAATGAAAGATAATGATATCGTCATTTTCACCACGAAGACAAGTCCAGAGGTCAAATTTTTTTTTTTCAAATTAAAGTGTATTACATAAGCTTTAATTTAAGATATATATAAAAGTGTCAGTCTTTCCGGAACATTTTCAAAAGTTAAGTTGAAAAAGTTAATTTTTTTTGAAAAAGTTGTCTTTTTAAATCTCTCCCTGTGGGCAGGTAAAGGGTCAGATATAAAAAAAATATATAAAATGATATGTAAATACATCATGCATCTATAAAAAAAAGAAATATATTGATATGTTCATTTTTGAAAAAGTTATAGCACTTTTAAGTAAAAAAAATTGAAAAAATTTCGAAAATTAGCAATTTTTAAATTTGTAATTTTTTTGGAGGTTTCCCCCATTTACGGGGAACGAGGGAAAATTTTTCAATTTTTGAGGTTAATGTTTTCAACTAGATACATTTTGTGATCTTTTGATATATCATTGAAAGAAATCGGTTCAGTGAGAGCTGAGAAAAAGTGGTAACAGACACAAAAAAAAAAAAACACATCTTAGTAAAACCAATACCTTTTCAGTTTCGCATCGAAGCTAAAAGACAATAATACATAAGTTTAATGTTCGACCAAGAGCAGTTCCATTTGTATAGTATTAAAAAAGCCTAAAATATAGAAACCCATCCGTCCTTAAACTTCCCGAAGCATAAAAATTCCCTAAAAAATGTATTGAAGGTAATGCCGTAAGTCTTAAACGGATTGTATTGGTTAAAATAAATAGAAATCAAATATTAAAATTATAAAAAAAAAATAAAATTATAAAAATAATTATCAAAAAATTTAGTTACCCGATTGACAAATGAATTTTGAAAATTTTCTTTTACAAATAAAACACACAAGAAATACATTTATACTTTGTAGAAATTTTTCTAGCATAATTGTTAAATATTTACACTGTTGAATTATAACGCTATTACGTCATATGCTAATTTGAACACGCACATATGTATTAAATATAGTTATAAATGTGTATTATTTATGTCATTAATGTAAGGAACTTTACTGACATTTTTTATTAGGAGATTAGTTAAATAATTATTTCCGTTAAATAGTGTCAATATTAAAATAATTTCGAATAGGAATTTTAATATATCATGATAATTATTTTTGTAAAATATTTCACAAAAATGTCATAAAAATTTGTATTTCTACTTTTTTTATTTAAATTTTATAATAAATTATTTAATTTCAATTATTTTAGTTTACTATTATACAAAATTCATAGAATAAAATATATCTGAATAACTTTTGTAGTTATCAGATTCATAAATTGTTAACAATGACTTAACAATACTTTTTGTAAAAAAAGGGCTTAAAAATGGCTACGATTAAGTGGGTCGACTTTGGGCAGTTATACCTATTTAATTCATATCAATCTACAGTATGATGCGGCCACATTGCGAATCCAGCTTTACCGCTGGATGGTGACACAGTTACATCTTCCCGTTTGTTAGAGGTCGTGCTACGCTGGATGACCATCGACGGAGTGAACCGGTATGACCGGACTATATTACAGATAATTTTGAGAACAAACAACTTACATCTTTGGCTATAATGGCCAATAACTTCTAGAAATCGAGATTTTGGTTAGTTTTTCTCTTTTTGTTTCAAAGAACATTGTATTAAAATTAATTTGATGTCGATTAAAGAAACTTTAAAGTGAGTAAGAAATTGCTTCAAACGAGGCGAGATTACAGTAATGAAGTCATTGATATCCATAAAATTTATTGAATCTAAATGAGATAAAAATCAAATGAGTTAAAAACATTTTTCTAACTTTTGTAAGGTATTATAAAATAAAATAAAATACAAAATCGAAAATTTGAACACAAAAACAGCATATTTTTTAATATGGTATTCATTTTCGCCAATTCGGTACAGGTTTCGTGGTACATAAAAGCATAATACCAACAATAAAGGACTTTAAGGATGTAAATCCTTGAATATTAATTCTAATTTTGTCATCACAGTGGTTTGTTATTAGTTTCGTTAACTCACACGCATCCACAGATGATAACAAAAAGAGGAGAAGGACTTTTTTTACGAAGATGTAATAACCACGCTAAACTCAATACTGAGGAGAAGAATTCAAATTGTACTTGGTGGTTTAATTGCGAATATTGGGAATGAAATCGCATTCGGACCAGGTATAGGAAGCCACAGTTTACTTGAAATAAGTAATGATAACGGACTGATACTAATTGATTTGGCAACTGAAAGAGGTTTAGTAGTAAAAAGTACAATATTCCCACACAAAATGATGCATCAAGTAACACTGGTTTTAAGGGTAGACACATGGTCGTTTATTATTCAACAACAATAAGTTATTCAAGCAAACCGAAAAGATTAAAGTTAATAATAGTCTTCGCATATATAAATCATATTGATCAAATACTAATAAATTTGAGATTCAGTAACTATATTCAAGATGTTCGGACTGTATAAGGGGCAAATAGTGACTCCAGTGACTTTTTTTAATATTAAAAATGAATAAGTAACACAAATTTCACGCCATAAAACGTAGAAAAAATTAGTGTTAAAAAAAAAGTGCAAGACTAAAAATACACACTAGTGCCACAAAACCAAATAAGAGTGTAATAAAACACATGTTTGTATGCTTTAATAAACAGTTATTATTAGTAGTGCAAAATGATAGACAAGAAATATTCGAACACCCAAGTCTGTTTATGAAAAGACAACATTTTACTTAAATATCTTAATTATATAAATATACAATTATACAGAGTGGTTGACTATCTATGCCTCGTGAATTTTCTTTAAAAAATGTAGTGTTATCATATATGTAATTATTTTATTTGTTATAAATCTTTGTTGAGCTACTTGACAAGAAAAATAAATCTGTACAATGTGTTCAGATAAGAACTATCTGTGTATTGTACCACCATTAATATTCTATTTCAATAAATTGTATGACTAACAATTAAAAGCTAATTCAATAAAGTAAACAATGGTTAAATTTTAATTAAATTGTTATAAATTACTTTTATGAATTATATCATACACCCAAAGAAAAACCTCAATCAAAATTGAAAGAGAAATTTTATCAAGGGTTTATGATAATGTTTTATTAATACGAACAAAATAATTATTCTTATAAATAATTATTGTTCAAGACAAGAAAAAAAAATATCATATTGATAAATATATCATTGATTCAATAGTAATGATATATTTATCAAATTGAACAATGAATTTATTATATAGATCGAGGTTTTTCTCTGGGTGTAGATATACAAAATATATTTTTTAGTCAATTGTACATTAGAAGTTCAGGGCTTTCTCAGAAAAAAATATTTTTATTGAACCGACCCTTATTTTAGAAATCATTATTTTAAAATAATAACTATGTTATAATGGATATATAATGAAATTGTTGTTTTATTGTAGCCATACTTATCAAATTTATAATTTTTAGTATCGATTTTAGTTTTATGGTATATTTAAAAAATGTAATATATGTTAATACATTTTGCATTTAAAATAAAATGATTGACATTTTTAATTAATTTTTATTAAAAATATTTTGAATTGTCCATTATTTGGATATCTCCTCAATTGTTATTATAAAAAAAAATTATTTGATCATATATGTTTAAAAAAGTACAAAACGCTATATTGACTGAAATAAATGTTTTGCCAATATTTTTTCTTTTATTATTTAATCATAAAAAAGCTTTGAATTTAATTTGAATGTGTTAATTTACAATTTCTTTCGTAACTTATTTGAGCGTTTGAGAGTAGCAATTGTAATTTAGTGTATTGTTACTTAATAATTTCGCTACTGTCGTACGTCGGTAGTGCCCCGGCGTAGACACAAATGTAGTACACAAATTAATTAATATATTTTTTTTTTATATTGACGACGAATTAAACGTTTCAAGCTCTTATTGAGTCCTCCCGTTGGATACACTGGTCAACCCCAATCTCTCAAATTAGTTAACTACTAAACGGGTAGAGTTTAGACCCGTCAGTACAGTCTAGCTCAAAGGTAGCAGACTGAAGGGTGGCTCCTTGTCAGCCACCAGCACAACTACCTTTTTACTATACCCACTAAAGGACGGTTAAGCCCAAAAACTAACCAGCACCCACACTAATTATTAAGATTGACTAAAGGACCAGCAGTCCAATTTCGACTCGCACACATACACACAATTCCAACAGTACGGTGAATATAAAATATTTTCTGTTAATTTATCAAGAAAGCTCAATATTTATTTTGCATTTTTTATTGTAATACAACACTTAAATAGGAATAATAGTAATCATTTCTAAGTAACTTTTGGTGTTTAAAAAGATTCTGAAATTGAAATATTCAAAACTTAATTAATTTTAAGGATCTACTTTAACTTAAAAAACCTGACGCGGCACCGCCCTACGCTCTAGGCTGGCACTCACCCGTGTCTCTCTCGATATCAGCCGTCTAGCTATTAATACATGACAATCGGTTGTCATCAGGTGTCTCCCCGCCCATGACACCGTGACAAGGCCGCCGCCGAATATGAAGCACTGATATTGCGTTCTGTTTCGTTTCCGACGTTCATCTTAACTGGTTATTTTTCTACCATCGTTGCGATTGTGATAATGACTTATATTCATTAATTGTGTTTTGTTTTACTACTTGTGTTGTGTTATACTAAACGGTATTTTGGATACGCGATAAACCAATCAAAATGTTGTTAAAAAAATCCACTCAAATGAGCCTATTATAAAATTTGATTCTAATTGTAAAATTTTCTTGTGAAACTAAAAATTTTTTTTTTTATTTATGATTTATATAGCAACATGTTATCAAAAAATTTGGAATATTATACATTGGTAGTAACATACATAAATCAAGTTAAAAAAAGAATAAAATATAAAGTAAAGCAAGCCCATCCTGTTGAAATTTCATAAGTACTAATCAATTATATTTAATAAAAAAATCTAGTGAGGCTGCAGAAGTATCGTTTGCAGTTACTATCACCTTGTAATAATAATATTTATGTAATAAACCTAAAAATAAACAGAAGAAAATTAAAAGAAAGAAAGATAAAAATGAATATGAATATAAAAATATAAAAAATATTAGAATAATAGAATATAGTATAATAGAAATAGAATTGATTTGATTAGGGAATTGTTTGGAATTGTATGGAAATGTTAAATTATTTTATTTAATATATTAATTCTCTCATTAATTATTTAATGATGTATTAATAGCTTTTTACGCAATTGATTGTTGTAGGTTCGAAAGCATAGATTAAATCATGTTTACCTTACGTCCCATGTAATTCAATAATATTTCAAGTAATCCAATGTTGATTTTGGTATTAAATGCACTACATATGCTATTTACACTTTACGTCATATAGTCAATATAATTACTTACGAAAATTATTAAAATATTAAATAATACGATTTAGCTACACAAAATCTAAGACTTGAACATTTTAATATATGTAATAATTAATACTTAATAAAATAAATCACCAAATCAGTGTTCTCCGTGGATATGATGAATAAAAAAATAATACCCTTACACAAGATTTAACCACCTCTTATGCACTCTATGAAATTCCCACGTAAAAGATTCTATTACATTAACCAATCAAATACAACAAAAAATATTTCAAGAATCTCACCAGAGATCGCTAAACCAGTTTTGCGGGCTATTAAAGGCCATTTCCCTTAAATTTGGGTCGCTCTAAGCATGCCTAGGTACACGCTCTAGGCGTCCTCTCTGTACTCTCTGGTCTTCTCAATCAACATTCACAAATGAAATCTGCGTGAGTGTATGGTTCGTTCTTGGTTACAATTCTATATCAAATCTACACCGTTTTTATACTATTTCTAATCGCTGGGA